AATTCCGCCTCAAAAATTGGAATTCCAGGAAAAAATTCCCACTCAAAGTTTGGAATTCCAGGAAAAATTCCGCCTCAAAAATTGGAATTCCAGGAAAAAATTCCCACTCAAAGTTTGGAATTCCAGGAAAAATTCCGCCTCAAAAATTGGAATTCCAGGAAAAAATTCCCACTCAAAGTTTGGAATTCCAGGAGACAATTCCTGGAAAAAGTTTGGAATTCCAGGAGACAATTCCGGGAGAGTTGCCGCTCACAGCCTGGCGTGGCGGCGCGGCGGCGGCTCCGGGGCGAGGCTGCGCAGCCACTCCAGGAGGATCCCGTTCAGCTCCCGCGGCCTGGGGGCACGGAGAATTCCCGAAATTCCCAAAAATCCCCCAAAAATTCCCCAAAAATTCCCGGAGTTTGGGAGTGAAATTCTCAGGGATTTTTGGGATGGGGAATTCCGGAATTTGGGAGTTTTGGGGATCTTTGGGTTGGGGAATTTGGGAATTTTGGGATTGGGCAGATTTTGGGATTTGGGAATTTTGGAAATTCTGGGATGGAGGAATTTTGGGGAATTTGGGGATTCTGGGATTGGGGAATTTCGGGAATTTTGGGATTGGGGAATTTCGGGCATTCCAGGATTTGGGAATTCTGGGACTGGGGAATTTTGGGATTGGGGGATTTTGGGGATTTGGGAATTTGGGGGTTTTGGGAATCTTTGGGCTGGGGAATTTGGAGAATTTGGGAATTTTGGGATTGGAGGATTTTGGGAATTTTGGGATTCAGGAATTTGGGGATTTTGGGAATCTTTGGGCTGGGGAATTCAGGGATAGGGGAATTTTGAGAATTCTGGGATTGGGAAACTCTGGGATTGGGGAATTTTAGGAAATTTTTGGATTGGGGAATTTCGGGAATCCTGGGATTTGGGAATTCGGGGAACCCTGGGATTGTGGATTTGGGGAATTTCAGGATTTGAGAATTTGGGGAATTCCAGGATTGGGGAATTTCGGGCATTCCAGGATTTGGGAAACTCTGGGATTGGGGTATTTCAATAATATCAGGATTTGGGAATTTGGGGAATTCCAGGACTGGGGAATTCCGGGATTGGGGAATTTCGGGAATTCCGGGACTGGGGGATTTTGGGAATCCTGGGATTGGGGAATTCTGGGATTGGGGAATTTCAGGAATTCTGGGATTGGGGAACCCTGGGGTTTGGGAATTTTGGGAATTCTGGGATTGGGGAATTTCAGGAATTTTGAGGATTTGGGAATTTGGGGAATTCCGGGATTGGGGAATTTTGGACATTCCAGGATTTGGGAATTCTGGGACTGGGGAATTTTGGGAACTCTGGGATTGGGGAATTCGGGGAATTTTTGGATTGGGGAATTCCAGGATTGGGGAATTTCGGGAATTCTGGGATTGGGGAACCCTGGGATTGGGAATTTGGGGAATTCCGGGATTGGGGAATTTTGGGCATTCCAGGATTTGGGAATTCTAGGACTGGCGAATTTCAGGAATTCTGGGGTTGGGGATTTTGGGAATTTCAGGATTGGGGGATTTGGGGAATTCCGGGATTGGGGAATTCCGGGATTGGGGAATTTGGGGAATTCCGGGATGGGGATTCCGGCGGTCCCACCTCTCGAGCTGAGTCCAGTGGCCGCAGTCCTGGAGGTGCCCCCGCTGCAGCCGCGGGATCTGTGGGCACGGAGAGGCCCGGGTGGAGCCGGAACCTCCCGACATTCCCGACATTCCCGACATTCCCGACATTCCCACCCCAACGTGGAAACCAAAATTCCCACTTTTTTCCCACTTTTTCCCCAGATTATTCTCAAATTTCTCCCCTGTTTTTCCTGGTTTTTTTCCCAGGTTTTTCCCAGATTTTTTCCCAGATTTCTCCGGGTTTTTTCCTGGATTTTTCCCAAATTTTCCCGGGATTTTCCTGGATTTTTCCTCGATTTTTTCCCAGATTTTTCCCTTGTTTTTCCTGGATTTTTCCCACATTTTCCCAGATTTCCCCGGGTTTTTTCCTGGATTTTTCCCCACATTTTTCCTGGATTTTCCCACATTTTTCCTGGATTTTTCCAGGATTTTTTCCCAGATTTCCCCCTGGTTTTGCCCGGATTTTCCCCAGATTTTCCTGGGTTTTTCCCAGATTTTTCCTTGATTTTTCCCAGACTTCCCCTGGATTTTTCCTGGATTTTTCCCAAATTTTTCCTGTATTTTTCCCGGATTTTTCCCATGTTTTTCCCGGATTTTTCCCTGTTTTTTTTCCCGGATTTTTCCCGGATTTTTCCCGGGTTTTTCCCATGTTTTTTCCCGGATTTTTCCCGGATTTTTCCATGTTTTTCCGGGATTTCCTCACCCATCTCTCCATGCCTTTGCTGAGTTCGGGCTTCAGCACCGGATCCTTCCCGGCCGTCACCATCAGCGCCGGGATCGGGATCTGCCCCGGGAATGGCAGTTGGGGATCCCCGGGGCCATTCCGGGGTCCCAGGGGGAATCTGGGGGGTCCCGAGGGGATTTCGGGGATCCAGAGGGAATTTGGGGGATCCAGGGGAGATCCAGAGGGGATTTGGGGGATCCAGAGGGAATTTGGGGGATCCCGGGGAGATTTGGGGGATCCCAAGAGGAAAAATGGGATCTGGGGCATCCCGAAGGGACTTGGGGGAGGGGGATCCAGGGGGGGAAAATGGGATTTGGGGGGGCCTGGAGGGGATCTGGGGGATCCCGAGGGGATTGGAGGGAACATGGGGGATCCCCAGGGGCCCCGGATTGGGATGGGGATCGGGATCAGGATCGGGATCGGGATCGGGATGGGGATCAGGAACGGGATCGGGATCGGGATGGGGATCAGGAACGGGATCGGGATCAAGGTTGGGATCAAGATCAGGATGGGGATCAGGATTGGGATCAAGGTCAGGATTGGGATCAGGATTGGGATCAGGATCCAGATTGGGATGGGGATCAGGATGGGGATTGGGACAAGGATCTCCTGGGGATCGGGATTGGGATCAAGGTTGGGATCAAGGTCGGGATTGGAATTGGGATCGGGAACAGGATCCAGATCGGGATGGGGATCAGGACTGGGATCAGGATCAGGATCGGGATCAGGATCTCCTGGAGATCGGGATTGGGATCAGGATCCAGATTGGGATGGGGATTGGGATGGGGATCAGGACTGGGATGGGGATTAGGATCAGGATCTCCTGGGGATCGGGATTGGGATCAGGATCAGTCTGGGGATCAGAGTCGGGACTGGGATCAATGTGGGGACGGGGATTAGGATCGGGATGGGGGTCGGGATCAGGATCAGGATCAATTTGGGGATCAGGATCAGGACTGGGATTGGTTTGGGGATCAGGATCGGGGTGGGGATCCAGATGGGGATTGGTCTGGGGACGGGATCCGTTTGGGATCGGTTCAGGGATCAGCCTGGCACGCCGATCGGGACTGGGGTCAGGATCAGGGTTAGGATCGGGACTGGGATGGGAATTGGGAAAAGGGACTGGGATCGGGATCAGGGATCGGTTTGGGATCAGTTTGGGGATGTGGATGGGTTTGGGATCGGGTTCAGGGATCAGCCTGGGGATGGGGATCGGTTTGGGATCAGTTTGGGGATTGGTTTGGGATCGGTTTGGGATTGGTTTGGGATTGGGATCGGTTTTTGGGGATCACATTGGGGATGGGGATGGGTTTGGGATCAGGGTGAGGATTGGGATTGGGATGGGAATTGGGAATTGGGAAAAGAGACTGGGATCGGGTTCAGGGATTGGTTTGGGATCGGTTTGGGAATGGGGATCAGTTTGGGATTGGTTTGGGGATGGGGATCAGTTTGGGATTGGTTAGGGATGGTTTTGGGATGTTTTTTGGGATGGTTTTTGGGAATGGGGATCAGTTTAGGATCGGTTTGGGAATGGGGATCAGTTTGGGATTGGTTTGGGATAGGTTTTGGGCTGGTTTTTGGGACCGGTTTGGGGATGGGAACTGGATGGGAATCGGTTTGGGATCGGTTTGGGGATGGGGATCAGTTTAGGATCAGTTTGGGATCAGTTTGGGGATGGGGATCGGTTTGGGCTCGGTTTGGGCTGGGTTTTTGGGCTGGTTTTGGGCTGGGTTTTTGGGCTGGGTTTTTGGGCTGGTTTTGGGCTGGGTTTTTGGGCTGGGTTTTTGGGCTGGGTTTTTGGGCTGGTTTTGGGCTGGTTTTGGGCTGGGTTTGGGCTGGTTTTGGGCTGGGTTTTGGGCTGGTTTTGGGCTGGGGTTTTGGGCTGGGTTTTGGCTGGTTTTTGGGTGGGTTTGGGCTGGTTTGGGCTCGGTTTGGGCTGGGTTTTTGGGCTGGTTTTGGGCTGGGTTTTTGGGCTGGGTTTTTGGGCTGGGTTTTTGGGCTGGGTTTTGGGCTGGTTTTTGGGCTGGTTTTTGGCTGGGTTTTTGGGCTGGTTTTGGGCTGGTTTTGGGCTGGTTTTTGGCTGGTTTTTGGCTGGTTTTGGGCTGGTTTTGGGCTGGTTTTGGGCTGGGTTTTTGGGCTGGGTTTTTGGGCTGGTTTTGGGCTGGTTTTGGGCTGGTTTTGGGCTGGTTTTGGGCTGGGTTTTTGGGCTGGTTTTGGGCTGGTTTTTGGGCTGGTTTTGGGCTGGTTTTGGGCTGGTTTTGGGCTGGGTTTTTGGGCTGGGTTTTTGGGCTGGTTTTGGGCTGGTTTTGGGCTGGTTTTGGGCTGGTTTTGGGCTGGTTTTGGGCTGGTTTTGGGCTGGGTTTGGGCCGGGTTTTTGGGCTGGTTTTGGGCTGGTTTTGGGCTGGGTTTGGGCTGGGTTTTTGGGCTGGTTTTGGGCTGGTTTTGGGCTGGTTTTGGGCCGGGCTCTGTCCCCACCGTCCTGCCCCTGGCGCGCAGGGCCCAGCTCCAGTTCTCCCGCATGTTCCGGTACCAGTTCAGGGCTCCCCTGGGAACAGCCGGAATGAGCCGGGGGTCCCGGAGAGCCCGGGGGGATCCCAGGGGATCCGGGCCGGGATCGGGCGGGTCCCGGGGTCGCACCTGAAGCCGGATTTCTGGAACTGCCGGATGTAATATTCCAGCGCGGCCGGGGGCAGCAGGCGGCTCACGGGGGGATCCTCCGGGAATCCCACCAGGAGACCCCCTGGGGAGAGAGGGATCCGCCCTCAGATCCCGCCGGGATCCCCACCGATCCCACGGGATCCCCCCAAAATCCCTCCGGATCCTCCCACCTGCCACAGAACCCCACAGATCCCACGGGATCCCTGATCTCTAAATGCCGCAGGATCCCCCCAGATTCCCAGCGGATCCCCCGTTCCCAAATCCCCCAGGATTCCCCAAATCCCACCGGATCCCCAAATTCCCACCGGATCCCCCACTTCCAAAACCCACAGGATCCCACTGGATTCCCCAAACCCCACGCGGGATCCCCCAAAATCCCACCGGATCCCCAAATTCCCACCGGATCCCCCACTTCCAAAACCCACAGGATCCCACTGGATTCCCCAAACCCCACACGGGATCCTCCCGATCCCCCCAAATCCCACCGGATCTCCCCAGGTCCCACCAGATCCCCGGGAATCCCACGGCATCCCCCATTTCCACATCCCACAGGATCCCCCCCCGAATTCCCAGGGGATCCCCCCCCCCACTC